GGAGCTGTGAAGAAAGGCCAGAACCAGCTGCAATGAACAGTGATGGCCCCTGATTCCTTGGGAACAGCCCTGACCTACCTCAGAATTCTCCATGTTCAAGTCTCATGGACCCTGTGCTCAGTGCCTCAGGTTTTTGTTAAAGCACAGCTGGATTTCCTGTTACTGTGTGAAGTGGCACAGAAGTACCGTGCAGAGTCCTGGGGCTTCAGGGCCCACAGGGACAGGGATGACTCGGACTCGGAATTGTCTCTGGACACCAAGGCTCGACCGTCGATTGCTGGCCCGCTTTTATTGACAGAGGAATCAGGGATGATAAAAGACACCCACTCGAAGGTGCCTCCGRGTGACTGACGGTACCACCAAACATCATAATAATCAAAGCTGAATCCAGATCCACGGCAGGAGAGGGTCACGGAATCCCCGGCCACTCGCAGCCCTCCTCCAGCCTCCTCCAGCCTCATCTGTGCCCAGAGCCCTGCGGAGGGAGAGCGCAGGAATCGGGCAGGGAGCGAGCACGGAGCGAGGACGTTCCCCAGGTGTGCCGGTTCCCTGGCCCCGACAGTGACAAAACCTTCCCTCCTCCTCCCCCCAACATCTACATATACCCGTGTCCCTGTCCCTTTCCCCCCTGCCCCCGCCCCGGGCTCGCTGCCCCGCCCGGCTCTCACCTGCCGGCCACAGGGCCAAGGCCAAGGCCAGCAGCCCCGGTCCCAGCCCGGCCCACATGGTGACCGGCCCCGGCTCCGCCGCAGCCGCCCGGGAGCCGAGCGGAGCCGCTCTCGGGCCGCTCCCGCCCGGCCCCGCCTCTGCCCGCCCCCGGCACACCCAACCCGGGCCCCGGGGCCGCGGGCACAGAGCAGCGCTGCGCACACGGAGAGCGCGTTCTGACAAAGGGCTTCGCGGACAGCTCGCCCAGAAATTGGCCGTTGTAGAGAAGAATGTCACTGGGATCCTGGGCTGCCCTAACCACAGGGATGTTTCCTGCACCTGCCTTTCCCTGACAAGGGCCTCGGGGAGCCGGTGTTAGAAAGAAATGCTGAGAGATCTGTGTTCCCTATCTGTCGGTTTTTGGTCCACTCTGCTACAGAGCTGCTCCAGGGTGATCCTTGTTGCGCAGTAATACTTCGCAGCGTCCCCTTGCTTGACTGCCCAGATAAGCAGTGTGAATCTGTTTTCGGAGGTGTCCACTTTTCCCTTAAATCGATGTTGGAAATCTTCTCCGTAGATACCACCCTCCCTGTAAATCCATTCTAGAGTGCCCCGTGGGCTCTGACGGTACCAGTACATGAAGTATTTGCTCATATCACCTCCCTTCATGATGCACTGGAAGGTGACTACCCCTCCCTGTTGCACGGTCTGTTCCCTGAGGTGCTGCTCCAAGGCCACCTGGCCAGTGACTGCTGCAGACAGCAAGATGAACAAAGAATAACTCCAAGAATCAGCAAGGTCAGGGCAATGCTGGTGGGGATTTGGAATGGGACTGGATCAGTGGCAGGACAAAATCGTCCTCTTTGCACGCAGCGGACACAATGGGCAGAGCTGGTAGCAGCAATCAAGGCTCACAGGGAAGGAGACCCCACATTTCCCTCCCTCCTTTTCCCTGTCAGACAGGAAGCTTTTTCTGATTTTCCCCAA